TTAACTGATGGTATATGGAGGGGATTATAATCAATGTAATGAAACAAGTTATATGAATTGTTGAATGTGAAAATGATGATGTGCCCTGTAAACTTTTACTCAATCCACAATAAAAACCTTAAATTAAAAAAAAAAAAAAAAGATAATGGAGAAGCCAGGGCAACATGGCAGAGTAGGCAGCTACACTGAGCTGGCCCTGTACAACGAAGACACAGTAGACCTAGTGAACCAATACAGCTGGTGAGGCTGAAACCCTGAGCATCAGGGAGCGGGAGACGGAGGTGGCTGCAGTGCCCACTGGGAGAGGAGCAACCACAGAGAAGAGACACAGGCGGCTGTAGGCTGGTGTGGAAAGGCACCGCCATCTTGGGCTTCCATGCTGGCTGTCGATACAGTGGACTTCATTCACAGGCTGGAGGTTGGCAGCAAGGGGTATAGTTCTCCCTTATTCCCGTGCCCTTGCCAGCCCAGCAGCCAGAGGCAGCCCTCCCAAAGAGCCTGGGGTCAGATGCTGGGCACAGAGCTCTGGCTTCAGGAGGGTGTGTGAACCTTGAACTACGTTACACAACAGTGAACAGAAAACTAACTGCACTCACACTTTCTGTCTCTACCACATCCACCAGGAGACAGGTGTCAAATGCTTGAGAACACACCAGTATACAATCACCAATCCAATATAAATACAACACCACAATGTCTTAGAGAAAACAGACAATTTCAGCTTCCATGAAGACATAAGATAAAGTACCTCCAACAAGTGCCCAAAATAGAAAGTTAGAAAATATAACACACCAAAAATGGTGTTGGAACTACCCGATACAGAATTTAAAAGAATGCTGATAAGGCAACTTCAACGGCTAAGAGTGATCAAGAAAACGGCAGATGACATCAAAGAAAACATGGACAAAACTCCAGAAGAATTCACGAAACAGACTGACAAATGAGAACCATACAAAATCAGAAACTCAGAAAATTAGCATAAGATTTCAGAAATCCAATATACACTCAAAGAGTAAAGAAGTAGAATCGAAACATTAGAAAGCTGAATTACTCAGCTGGAAGGAAAATCTCTTGATATTCATCTGCTAGGGGAACAATCAGAAAAACAAAAAAAAAACAAAAACAAAGAAAGTCTAAGATTTCTGTGGGACATTATAAGAGGAATAACTTACATGTGTTTGGAATTCCAGAACAGGAAGAAACGAAAAATACATACAGAAAATTGTCCAAAAGTTGTTGGAAGAAAACTTCTCTAACATCACGAAAGATGAGAAGACAGCCATTCAAGAAGTTGACTGAACTTTGAATAGGCAACAAGATATACCATAATCAAACTTTTCAAAACCAAAGACAAAGAAAGAATCCTGAGAGCAGCTAAGGAAAAACGAAAAATTACCCACAAAGGAGAATTAATAAGATTAAGCTCTGATTTATCAGCAGAAACCATGCAGGCAAAAAGGCAATGGAATGACATATATAAAGATCTGAAAGAAAAAAAAAAAATTCTAACTGAGAACCCTAATATGAAGCAAAATTGTCCATCAAATTACGGTGAAATTAGGTCATTTTCAGATAAACTGAAATTAAAATAATTTGTATAAACCAGACCAACCTAATAACAAAAAAATACTAAAGCTATTCTTTGGACAGAGAACCAAAAACAACCTTAGACTAACGTACAAGGCAATACCACCTAGGCTGAACCCAGATATGGAACTATTCAAAGAGAAACAGACCTACAAAATTGAAACTAGAGAACCAGAGATACAGTTCCAACAACAACAAAACCAATGTAAAAAGAGGTAATAATATAATTACAAAATTTCCAAATGAAGAAGAAATCAAGTAGATTTCAAGAAAAAAAAAAAGATAAGTAAGTAAGGAGCTCTGGTAGCGTAGTGGTTACGAATCGGGCTGCGAACCTTAAGGTCAGCGGTTCGAAACTACCAGCTGCTCCGCGGGAGAAAGATGAGGCTTTCTACTCCCGTAAAGATTTACACCCTCGGAAACCCTGTACAGGGTTGCTATGGGTCAGAACCGACTCGATGGCACTTAACAACGACAACAAGTAAACATAAACCTGACTGTAACCCTAAAAACTAAACCAATACTTAGCCCAACCCCTAACCCCTACTCTTAACATTAATCCCACCTAGCACTAATTGAAGTCCTAGGCCTAGCCTTGTTGTTAGGTGCCATCAAGTCAGTTCCAACTCATAGCGACCTTGTATTGGCTTTCCAAGGAGTGGCTGTGGGTTTGAACTCCCAACCTTGTGGTTCCAAACAACCTTATAGTCCAATCCTATCCTACAGTGCCACACCAGGACTCCAGGTCTTAGGCTAGACCTAGCCACATTCCTAGTCTGAACTTTCACTCCTTACTCCTACCTACCCTTCTCCTATCCTCGCCTAAAATGACAACGGAGTTTTTCTACAAACTTTTGGAAGCCACCTCGTAGCTCTGAAATGTATTTATCACATCTTTTCTTTTTCTGTCTTCAGATTCAAAATTTTCTGCATTCTCCTTTAGTGCTTGGGTGTTTTTATCTTGCTTGCCTTGAGTTGAGTGCCAAGTTCATCTCCTATAATCCTGTTTTAAGGATGGAAACATTTAAGATTTTGGGTTTGTTTTAAGTCAAACTCTTACCTCATTCCATAGACTTCACGACATGATAGTCTCATCCTCAGTATTACCTTTATGTAGTCTTAAATGTTGTTTCGATTTTTATTTGACCCAATGGTTATTTAAGAATACTTTTAACTTTCTAAGTGGTCTTTCTCTCTCTCTCTCTTTGTTAGGTTTTAGTATAAAACTTTAATTATACTGTTCCAATAAAAGGTTCTGGAGGTAATTTTTACTTTGAGGAATTTTTTCTCTTTTTTAGACTTCCACTGTGGTCTATTTTATTATTAAATGGTGCAACAGTCTTACAGGTTTAGATTTAACTAAGTTGTCTTTTCTAAAGGTTTTACTCAATGTTGAATGGAAGCCCGTTCCTTCCACATTGCTGATTTTATCTTTCAAAACTCTAGTCCTTGTTAACACTTCCCGGTACTTCTGGCTCAGCGGAGAGAATGTGGATCTCCACAACTGGGTTTCTAGCAGTGCTACCTTGTCATCCCAAGAGGAGTCGCTTCATCTCAAACAGCCATATGCACCTCACGTTTCTTCCAAGGAGCCTGGTGTGCAGTGGTAAAGCTCTCAGCCGCTAACCCAGAGGTCAATGGTTCAAACCCACCAGCGGTTCCATGGTAGAAAAATGTGGCAGTCTGCCCCTCCATACAGATTTCAGCCTGGGAATCGTGTAGGACACGTCCACTCTGCCTTATATGGCTGCTCTGAGCTGGAGCCAGCTCCCTAGCAATGGATTTGCCGTTCGGGGTTTTGTTTCTTCTTTTGAATGTTCTTTCTGTGTTCCCAAGCTTGTTGTTTGCTGACATTGAACCAACTCCAACTCCTAGCAACCTTAAGTGCTGCCAAAGGGAACACTGCCCACCCCGGCCTCATCGTCCTGCTCCGGTTTGTCTCTGGGGGTGTTTTCCTCCTTCCCACTGACCCCTGCTTTACCAACACAATGGCCTTGTCCAGAGACTGGTATTTCCTCATGACGTGTCCAAAACAAGTGATGTGCCCGTCCTAGCTTTTAAGGAACACTCAGCTGTATTTCTGCTAAAACTTTATATGCATCTAATTATCAGGTCAAAAGCAAAATCATGTCTTTGGTTAGCCCTTCCCCATACCATGTACAGCATGGACTTTGGGGCTGTCTGCGTTCTTTACAGTTCTTTCCCGATTCTCAGTCTTTACGAACTTACTTTGGGTATGGACTCAACGCAAACCAAATCAATTCCAACTCATGGTAAGCCAGTGTTTATCAGAGAACAGCTGTGCTCCACATGGTTTTCCATGATTGACTTCTGGGAAGCAGATCATCAGACCAGTCTTCTGAAGTGCCTCCAGGTGGATTTGAACCGCCAACCTTTTGGTTAATAGCCAAACTTAACTGTTTGTACCACAAAACCCCTAAAACCCATGATTCAGTTGTCATCGCTACATTACACAGCTTCTCTGTAAAAAAATATCTTTACATTTGCATATCACTCTGTAAACATTTTGACAACCCTTTTAGTGTTAAATTTCTGTTTCTAAATACCGATCACTGGTCACTTTGTGTCATGGCTTCCATTCTCACGTGCTTTTGTGACTGTGAGTTTCCTCACTTATCTTCAAGTGCTTTGGGCAAGAAAAGCAAGAAAATGGGATATTCCTTGGTTTTGGGGCATCCAGAAAGCCTTCCCTTCCCACACAGATGAAAACTTGGCTGAATATAAATGTCTTGGGTTCAGCTCTTTTCCCTTAAAATTCGGCAGGTGTTGCTCTGTTGGTTTCTGGGGGTCTGGGTCCTCCTAGGTTTTATGGTGGGACATTAGGAGAGTTTCACCAGACCACTGTTTTCTCATGCATCCCAAGCTGGGCCCGAGCTGGTGACGGATGCCCAGTAAACCCCTGGCAGCTGCGTGTGCTGTCATTTTCCACAGGTGGGTGAAGAACTGGCGGTGGTCTGGCTGTACCTGGAGGCCAGGTGTGGGGGGCTCAAGGTCAGGGTGAACTGCGAGGCCCCTGTTGTGGCTGCTGGCTGACCTTTGTCTTCCCCTGCTTCTCCTTTCAGATCCGGTCAGACAAAGACAACGACATCCCTATCCGCTACAGCATCACCGGTGTGGGTGCCGACCAGCCTCCCATGGAGGTCTTCAGCATCGACTCCATGTCGGGTCGCATGTCCGTTACGGGGCCCATGGACCGGGAAGAGCGAGCCTCCTACCACGTGAGTGTCTGCAGCAGCCCGGCCAGGCCCCTTCCGTGTACTGGTGGCTCGAGCTCCAGCCTGTGTTGGAGTCACCAGGAAGGAGGGTGAACACATAGATCGTGTCTCATTCAGAAGGTCCGACGTGTATTCCTGGTGCAGCCTAGAGCCACACTGGGCCTGTGGTCTGCACCTCCCACAGTGTTTGTCCTCTCAGATGGAGTGAGGTCACACTCTGAACCTCCAGCCCCCCAACTTCCGTGAGCCCCCTTTCACCCATGCGGAAGCCCTACAGGAGCACCCTCCAGTTCCTCAATCCATCACCTCCCCATGTCCTCATGACTGCCCGCTTCAGCAGGAAACTGGTCCTGAGATGAGGCAGGGAGGGGGCATTGTAAGGACAGGCAGGGCCTCAATGGCCAGGACCTGAGACCGCGTAGCTTCCTCTACCTCACTCTACAGGGAGGACAGGGGGCCCTGGACCACAGGTGAAAGAGTTGGCCCTCTATTCCCTCCAGCCTTCAGCCTCTCAGGGGCTCAGCCAGGAAGGGCTGCAGGCCGCCTGGTCCAAACCCCAGTTTCCCTCACTGGGTGCAAGACCACAGGAACCCACTCAGCCTCTCTAGTGTTCAGAGGAGCTGAAGTTCACCCAGGCTCAGGACTGCTGGTTTGCTCATTCCCAGACGCTGGGGTGCACCGGCCTGCTCGCAGATGCTTGGGCACACCAGCCTGCCTCTCTTACCTTCCCTCCTCATCACCCCCTTACTTCTCCCTCTGTCTAGAGGGATGCCCGCAGATGACAGGGTTCACTGTGAATGAGCAAGTCAAAGAGAGAGAAGTGGAGAAATGCATTCAAGCCTGATGATCTCCCTCCCCCCGTCCCCCGCCGCCCCACACACCCACACAGCCCTCCATCCTGCCTCCTGCCATCCCTTCATCACTCAGCTGCTCAGGTGTCCAGAGCCCTGCAGGATCTCCTCTGGCCTGATTAGCCGGTTACATCAAGACTCATCCGCAGAGCACTTAACCCCCAAACTGCCCACCCAAGGTGGCTGTTCACCTGATTAATTTACCTTGTCCAAGATGAAGCCAATGAATGTGTTACTGTCACGGTCACACTCCTCCGCTTCTCCCAGGACCTGGACCTCCGACCCGGAGCTCTCCATGTCCCTGTTTTTTCTCGGGCTTCTGGCAGACATGTCTCTGGGGTCTCCATTTAAGCATTGCTCCCTTTGGCGTGACCCCTCTGTTGCCCTCTGGCAGCCTCCGTCCCTCTGGACCTAAAGAATCTTTGTGCTGATAGACCATCTTTAGCATCAGACACAGGGACGCAGCATGAACCCTCTTGGGGCCACCAGCTACTCGTGTCTGGGCTCTGACCACTGACCACAGAACTTCTAGGACCCAGTGCAGACCAGGGAGGGACCTCAGGCATCCCCTCTTCTCACCTCAGATGGGGTCACCACGCCTCACACACTTGGCTCAGCCTCTGGGCCTCAGTGTGGCTTCTGGGGCACCTCCAGACCCTGCACACAGCTCACCCACCTCCCATCCCGATCCTGAGACTCCCTGGTTTCATCCTGTCTGAGGTGAGAACAGAGAACCATGGAGATAGCTGAGACTCTCCCCTTAGCTAGCACCTCCTCTTGAGACTCAGGTACCCCCATGGCACTCCCATCTGGCCTGGGGGTGGCTGTGCTGGGCAGTGAGGGGTGTGGGGAGCTATACCATGTAACAAGTAACCTTCAACTTGAACCAAAACACCAGGTGCCACCGTTGAGTGGGTACCGACTCACAGAGACCCTATGCACAACAGAACAAAACACAACCTAGTCCTGCGCCAACCTCACAATTGTTGCTAAGCCTAAGCCTATCACTGCAGCCACTGGGCCAATCCATCTCGTTGGGCGTTTTCCTATTTTTCTTTAACCCTCCACTTTATCAAACATGGTATCCTTCTCCAGGGACTTGGCCCTCCCGATAATATGTCCGAAGTATGAGAAACAAAGTCTGGCCATCCTGGCTTCCAAGAAGCATTCTGGATGTACTTCTTCCCACATAGATCTGTTGGTTCTTTTGGCAGCCCATGGCACTTTCAATATTCTCCTCCAACACCATAACTCAAAAGCATCAATTCTCCCATGGTCTTCCTTATTCACTGTCCAACTCTCACAGGCATATGAGATTATTGAAAATACCATGGCTTGGGTCAGACACACCTTAGTCCTCAAGCTGATCTCTTTGCTCTTCAACACTTCAAACAGGTCTTGTCCAATAGATTTGGCCAATGCAATACATCATTTGATTTCTTGACTGCTGCTTCCATGAGTGTTGATGGTTGATCCAATAAAAATGAAGTTTTCAACAACTTCAGTATTTTCTCCACTTATATGGATGTTGTTTATGAGTCCAGTGGTGAAGATTTTGTTTTCTTTACATTGAGGTACAACCCATACGCTGTGGTCTTTGATCTTCATTAGTAAGTATTTTAAGTCCTCTTTGTTTTCAGCAAGCAAGGTTGTATCATTTGCATAGGGCAGGCTGTTAATGAGTCTTCCTCCAATCCTGATGCCACATTTTTCTTCATATAATCTCCCGATAGTTGACATTTTTTCATAATGCCATTTCACACTTCATAGGCGACTGTCCAGAGAGCAAAATAAATCAGGCGACCCGTGTTATTGCGGTTTTGTCTGTATCGCAGCAGTCTGGAACTCAGCCTGCAAATCTCCACGTCCATCCGCACCACCCGGGACTTGAGCTGCCAGCAGGCACTCAGTCTCCTGAGTGAGGGAGGCAGGACCAAGCCCACATCTTCATGTTTATGAACCATGTGTATGTTTTCATGTTTCATGTTATCTCCATGACAAGAGCAGGAACTGCTCCTCATTGTAGGTTTTTTTCACTTGGCCCCGCTGACACTGAGATGGACAGCTCCACCTGCTTGGAGCTAAGGCGTCTTTTCTCCACCAAAGCAAGCCCTCCCCACCTGCTCCCCAGTCCTGCAGAAGTGTGCCCAACCTGAGAGCTATGCTGGGGGTGGGGGGCGGCGGGGGGGAGGTCTTGCCCTGGAGACTGTGTCTCCTCTCAGATGCTCCTACTACTGAAGGTAGCAGGCACTGTAGCCAGAATATAAAGCTTGTATTACAACTCACAATAACTGGTTTCAAAGGCACTGTGACCCTTGACCCAGTACGTTATTGAGTGACTAGGTGCAGACTAGCTGGACCACACCGCCACAGGTCAGAGGGACATCTCCAGCAGTGGTGCTTGGCGGGAGTGGGGCTGAACGTTTTACTGGGGTTTGGGTGGAAATTTAGAGAGCAAACTAGTTTCTTCTTCTACAATGACACACATTTTGTGTCCTGACATCGGTTGTAACCCCCTCAATGAAACAGTGCTCCCCAACTTTCTCCCTGGATTCCCTGTGTCCCTGTGTCCTTCCTCCTTGCCCTTTCCTGCCTTCGGAGCTTTGTTTTGGGGGAAAACGCTGTCCTTCTGGCCATGTTTGGTTCACTGTTCTGAGGCTCCATCCTTAGAGCTTTTGTTCTTGCTATGAGCCTGTCTGTGGTTCGGCTGAAAGGTGATTCCTGGTGGGTTCGGCTCCAGGTTTGAAGGGCGTCTAAGGCCACAGTCTCTGGGGTTCGACCCGTCCCTGCAGACTAGGAAGTCTGGTCTATTCTGTGGTTTTCGAGTTCTGTCCAGGACTTTCTGGTGTGATCCCCACTAGCATGGTGGGCAGTGGTAGGCCCAGGGTTATACGTTTAATAGTTGCATTGACTCTGGGCTTGGGTACCACCGCATCTAGTGTTGTCATCTGTGATCTTTCCAGGAACCAGCCCCAGTCTGTCCCCAGACAATGACACATACCAGCCCTTGGGGGTCTTCTTGGGGTAGAGTCTCAGAGACCCCCATCTCCTACAGATATCAGCACCCTTTGGTCTTATGAAGACCTGAGTCCTCTTGTCCCATCCCTGCATTCCCATTTCTCCCCTCACGCTTCCCCCCATTTCTGGAGGTGAGAATCAAGGCTCAGAGAGACCTTGTTGCCTCACCCACAGGGGTCTCGTGCTGCGGCTGTTGTACCCTTGTCCCCCATGCTGCAGACCTGCTGTCCCCGAGGCTGACCGATCTGTGTCCCCTTCCAGCTCAGAGCACACGCAGTGGACATGAACGGGAACAAGGTGGAGAACCCCATCGACCTGTACATTTATGTCATCGACATGAACGACAACCGTCCCGAGTTCCTGAACCAGGTCTACAATGGCTCTGTGGATGAGGGCTCCAAGCCAGGTAAGTGCAGCCGCTGCTCGGGGCAGGGATGGGCGGGACTCAGTCGTGTGTGCTAACTTGGCAGATGTCCAACACGGTCCAGGGGAGCAAGAGGAAACAGGTGGACAAGGCTCTGAGGACATGCAGGACATGAGGACATGGAGCACAGGGAGGGCCCGGTGGAGGGACACTTGGGAGATGGATGTGAAGAGGGGCCAGAAAAGGCTAGGCCTTGGGGTGCTGGGAAGGAGAACTGCCGGGACATCTAGGGGTGGGGTGACCACGTGTGTGAGCAGCAGACCTTCAGCTCCCCCAGGACTGGTCCAGAGCAGCCTCCCTGAGGACCCACTGGGGAAGGAGACTGCTTCATCATGGGCCACGCCACCCTACAGTGTGAGACAGATGCATCTCTTGGGGTCCTCTGTAATAATGAAGGGAGGGGTCCAGCTGGACCAGACTGACCAATACCAGGTGGGAACGCACTTCACCTGTGCACTTGTGGGAGATGCAGGCTCTCCCCCTCCTGGCTGAAGGTGGTCTGGCAGTGGGTTCCACAAGTCCCCGTATGGGTGGTATCGGAGAAGCTGCTGTCTCCAGCAATGGTGGGAGGGCTATCAGGGGCAGTAACTAAACACAGGGAGGAAAAGCCAAGTCACTGCCCCTGAGTCAATTCTGACTCATGACGACCCCTGTGTTAGAATAGAACTGCTCCGGGGGGGGAGGGGGATTCTGAGCTGTGATCTTTGCAGAGGCAGATAGCCAACCCTTTCTTCTGTGGTGCCGCTGACTGGGTTCAAACTGATACCTTCAGGTGTGTTGCTGTTGGCTGTTCGGTCCCACTGAGTCAGTTCTGCCTCATAGAAACCCCTGTGATGGATGACAGAGGAGAATTGCCCTAATAGGGCCTTCTTCTGCGGCTGTGAGCTTCACTAGGGCAGATTGCCAGAACATTCTTCCATAGCACCAGCGACTGCCAACTTTCAGATAAAAAAACTCAAATTCAAGCTTACTGCCCTTGTGTCAGTTCAGAGCCATAGAGAACTTATGTTGGGTTTTTCTCCAAAGCTGTGTTTTTATAGGGAGTCCTGGTATGGCACTGCAGGCTAAGCACTGGACTGCTAACCACAAAGTGCACCACTCCTCATAAACCCTATATAGGGTCGCTATGAGTCAGAACCGACTTCATGGCACCTAACAACAAACATTTACAGGAGCAGAAAGCCTTATCTTTCTCCCAGTGAGCAGGTGGTGAGTTTGAACCGCCGACCATTTGGTTAGCTGTACTTATCCTACACCCCACACCAGGACTAACTTTGAAGTTGTGTTGTTGTTAAGGGCCATCAAGTTGGTTCCGACTCATAGTGACCCTGTATAGGGTCTCCGAGGAGTGGCTGGTAAATTTGAACCACCGGCCTTTTGGTTAGCAGTCCAGTGCTTATCCTACAGTACCACATCAAGAGTCCCAAACGAACTAGAACCAACTGCCATCAAGTTGATTCCAACTCAGCAACTCCATGTAGAGTTTCCAAGGTCATGAATCTTTGTGGGAGCAAACAACCTTATCTCTCTCCAGTGGTGTGGCTGGTGGGTTTGAACCTCTGACCTTGAGGTTAACAGCCTTTACCCACAATGCCACCTGGACTCCTGTGCAAACCGAATGCTCCACCCAGTTAGATGAGAAGTTCACACGCATAGTGGATAATACTCTAGCATGCGTATATAACCAAGCAGCCTGTGGACCACACTCCTGCTTTAGATGATGGATTGTTGAGCTGATGCTCTGATCTAACTGGGCATCCTGGCTCTCTGGAAAGCATACTGAGGCTCTTTCAAAAGCCAGCAGCAGCACGCAGAGCCCAAAGCCCAGGCTCCTCAGGCTGGAGGCCGGTCAAGAGGGTCCCAGAACTGGGCGGTGGAGGCAAACATCTATCATGGGCTCCTCGAGCTGGAGGAGGTTGTCATAGCTCGTCCGTGGGGCCCGCTGTTTCAACAAGGTGAATTGCTTTCTCAATTGATTGTGTTTCTGAACTGAGGCATGAGCGAGCCCAGTATCCCCGAGGGGAACTGGATGTGACATTATTTCTGCGGGAACCCCTAGGGAGGCAGGGACAGGCGCTGGGTGGGCAAATTAGCTACCAGCCGCCGTCTCGGCAAACGAAGGAGACCTGCCCACAGCCGCCTTTGGTGGACCAGGGATCAGGCGGGAGTCCGGCTAGGTGCGTGACTTGTTACTGGAAGCGGGTGTCTCTCACCTCAGACTTAGAACGCAGTTCAGGGGCACCTGCATCTTCCCGACCTTCCCTTCGCAAATGAAAGCTCCCATGGCTTCAGTGTAAACAAATCAATAGAGAAAGGCTTCCCCAAGGTGTAACTGGCTTTACTCATTAGGGTAACAAAAGCAACAAATTGCTGCCTGTCTCCTTTCCAAACCCGGATAAGCCCTTAAGCCCTGAAATCCCCATCACGCTAGCACGATCGCCTCACTGGAGGGGCCGCTGACAAGCCATCCTGCGTGGGGCTGGGAGGGGCAGCAGAGTGGGCCTGCCTCCTGAACAGTTACTTGTGTATCCACCCTTCTGTCCCTGTTGCCCCATTACGCCGAAGAACCCGTGACTGACCTTCTGAGCCCCTGGTGGACCCCAAAGGAGCTCTGGTGGCTACTAATCGAAAAGTCAGTAGTTCAAACCCACTCCTCAGTAGAAAGACAAAGCGGTTTACTTCAGTAAAGATCACAACCTGGGACACCTATGGGGCTTTTCTACAGGGTCACTGTCCAAATCAACTCAAAGGCTTGGGTTTGGGGGTTTGGCTTGGGGATGGGGGACCCCAGAGTCTGTCCATGCGAGTCCTTGTACCAAGGCTGCGGTGAATGTACCAGACACCGTTGAGCCCTCTCATTGACACTCCGTGCCCCACACAAGAGTGAGGACCAAACATCCAAGTACATGATGCCCAAGCTCTCAGGGCCTCCGGGGACTTGGGAACAGTTTCCAGACTCTCTTCTCTGACATCAATCAATTATAATAATAGAAGGATTTTACCTGGTGCCTTTGTGGGATAAGGGAAAGCTACCCCCAGAAATTAGTCATTATTCCCCAGAATGATGGGTAATGAAGTTTCCGTTCTACAATCTCATAAGAAACAAATGGGCAGATATTTCAATATTGACTCAACCAGATGAGATCCTCTCAAGATTGGGGGGGGGGGTTCTTCTGGGGACATCGGTGCACAGGCTCTGAAGCTGGGACCCCAAGCTATCCCACGTTCACCCCACATCCTTTCCCCATCTCCAGGTGCCCCTCAACTTGTGAAACCCTCTTAGGAACAGCTTACCTATTCTTGCTGTCCTCCAACACGCGTGTTGAAGGCTCAGGGATGGCTCACCCCTGTAATAGAGGGGCATTCCTTATGGGTTCGGGGCAGTGTCACAAGAATTAGATCTCTTTAGTAAGCAAGTGGCAGACCCCACCTCATACGCTCTGGAGAAAGGGGGAGTCAATGGTTCACATAGCTATAAACTTAGCATGGCTGAGATGGGATTGTTCAGAATCTCCCAAGTTAGGTTGTTCTGGAAGGTTCTAACCTCCTGACAAGATGACCTGAACAGCTGCCAGCTTGTCCCGGAACAGCTGGTAATCCCAAACAAAGACAGCAGGTCTTCCCTGCATTCCAGCAGAAGTCCCAAGGCAGATTCTCATCCGTCTGGCTTGGGTCATGGACCCATCTCTCAGCCAATCCTGGCGGCTGTTGTATAAACTATAAGCATCATCCATACATGAACAGGGTCCAGTTCTGGACCCAGCAAGTCAAATGGTCTGAGCATGGGGTGGGAGGGCCTCCCCAAAAGACCAATGTGGTCCCAGAAAGCTATGTGTTGTGGATGCTTTCTGTAAAGAAAGGAAGTTTTGTGTATTTTGAGATCATCAGAAAATGGACCTAAAATTAGAGTCCCCAAGACAAAAGACCCCTGAAATGACCTGGAGGTCCCAGCGGGTATTTGCCAGTGCTCAAGGGGTCCTGGGGTCCATGATGCACCTCAGGGCGGTTGGCTGCAGTGGAAACTGACCAGGCTCTGCACCACCCACCCGAGCATCACTACAGCCACCTCATCTGTACTTCAGGTGTCTGGGTGGGAATTCATTGGGAGAAATTATTTTTTTTAATGAATTTTATTCTGAGATCATTGTAGATTCACAATGCCCAGACTCCGTGGGCCCTTTTCTCAATTTCCCCAGCCATACAACATGCAAACCCAGAGAACAACGTCACGCCAGGATCCAGCACCTGTCCCAGCAGACTCACCTTCCTTCATGTGTGAGAGTGTGTATGTGTACACGCATGTCTGTTTTCATGTCTGGGTGAGTGTGTATATGTGTGTGAACATATAAATGAACAAGTGTATGTTATATGAGTGTGAGGGGATGTGTGTATGTGTATATGTGAATATGTGAGTGTGCGTGTGTATACATGTGAGTGTGAGATTGCATGTATGAGGGGGATGTGTGTGCATTTGTATACGTGTGAGGGATGTGTGTATATGTGTGTGAGATTGTGTGTGTGAGGGTGTGTGTGCATTGATGTGTCCATTTGGTTGTGTTCACGGTGTGCATTCAGTTCTATGCAATGTCATCACATGTGTAGATTTGTGTAACCCCCACCAGTCAAAGTGCTGAACACTCTCATCATTATATGGCTGTTATAACTACAGCCACCTTCCTGCCCTGACTCTCATCATCATGCATCTGTCCTCCAGCTCTCTGCTCCTGTCACCTCGAGCCTGCGTTGTAGATGGAGTCCTATACCATGCATCCTCTGAGGAGGTACCTTTTTTCCCACATAATTTCCTTGAGACCCGTCTAAGTTGTTGCTTGCATCCATGGTGTGTCTGAGCCACGGCTTGCTTAGTCTGTGGTCCACTGAAGGACATCTGGACTATGTCCAGGCTCGGGCAATTCCGTACAAATGTGTACATTTATTTTCCACCTGGGTATGAACCCAAGTGCTCCTTTGTCTGTGACAAA